ATGTCATGTTTTCCAGTTTCTTAAGGTAGTCACAGCCAGCATAACTGGAACACCCAATACTTTGACCTGACATTTAGAGATTAATTCATTAAGGACCCAATGCACGCAAGAACTGAGATACAACATACAGAATAAGCACTTTTACTTTTGATACTTAAGTACATTCACTATGGAATACTTCATACCTTTACTCGAGTACAATTAAGGAGGACTTTAATTGTGGATATGGTATTTCTACTGCATATCCAGCAAGGTTCTTCAAGCATAGACTGTTATGCAATACAACCAAGCTCACTAACATCTCCCCAGTGCTCCTGGGGTTTAGGAGCAATAAGCAAGACATTAATGAACTTAAAAAGATACAACGATGAGATCTCTTCAATTTCTCCTATTGTAATCTCAAAGTCTCAAAACCTCAATCTCTCCACATCTCATCTTTGCTTCTAAGGGGGGTTTTTAGGAACAACAATTCAGATTGAAGTGATTTCAAAAAGATATACAATTGAGATCTTAGTGCTTTCTCAAGACTTAAAGAAAATACTACTGTGAGCTAAAGATTTTTAGGAACATGTCACCCAGTGCAACCTGCTTTAACCTCAGCCTGTTAGCGTTTTCATTATGAACATGTTGCCAGGCCAGCGTCAGCATTTAGCTCAAATTACCACTGTGCATTTTCAGTCTTCTAATGGGATTTGTTGACAATGATAAAAGTATTTTAAAGAAATAGCCTCATCCTTCTACATATTACCATGTGAGTTCACCTACAGCGGTATCCAGCCTTAATCTGAATCAGAACAAGAGCAAATAGTTTTTGATGATGATAAAATGTAGTTTGTTCTCCCTGATGCTGGTCATATACACAAATCAGGATGTGTAAACATTAATGGATGGAAAAGCACACTATGCCAGTTGAAAAATGTATAAATAACACATTGCTGTCAGGCAAAAAAGAAAACTTCTCACCTTCAAAATGTCAGGAGCTAAACAAACAGCTGCATTTGAAATTTGACCACTGTATCTTCTATTTTGTCCTCTGGATTTTGAAAGTTTTATAAAACCAGGGATCACACACTGTTTCTAGCTCTCTGGGATACATATTCACTCTCATTTGAAGCACAAAAAATCAAAGTGAAACTGTGAACATGGTTTAGCTTCACAATTTAAAGAGCATACTTATATTGTATGTTTTTTTTTCAAACCATCCGCCTTCCATTTAATTAATGCCTGACCCAGTATTATGTTCATATCTTTGAACTGAACCAGAACCATTTTTCCATTTTAAACCTTGCCCACACCTTTCAATCTGTCAGTGACCATAGGATCCTCTTTATGTTCTTGAGCAAGACACACAACCATGCCTCCCCTTTTTTTAAATAAAAAAAATCACTGACTGAAAGTCAATATCTGTGAAAATGAAATACACTCCACCAAAGCCAGAGACTAAAGCATAAGGACTCATAGATGTGATCCCATCAAATGTAAAATCTGTGTGATATTATTAGTTATGGAGTGGAAATTTCACTGAAAATCCCTCTGGATTTCTTCTGTGTTGCCTTTTAATATCTCTTCTTATCCATCCTATCTGGTGCAGTTTCAGATATCAATGATAGCAGAGATTAAAAAAAATGTATTCCTAGCTTTTTGGCATAATTTTCATGTTAAGAAATTGGGCTGTTGGGCTACTTTGTTTTTACATTAAGGGTTTCTAAAGCCCAGACATGGAAGATGTAACATTGCTGGCTTCATCTGTTAAAGCAATGGCTTTTTGTCAATCAGACATAGGTGTCTGTCTATAGGTGACTTTCCAAGGAGAACACAGTATTGTACTGTTTTATGAAAAGATAAATACAACACGATGGAAGATCAAATTAAATAACTTTCAGAGTAAAATTCTTCCTCACTGCTGTGTAGTGACAACCTGAAACTTCACAGATCTGTTACTCAAACTGGAATTCCTGGATTGTTTTTCATCATCTGAAACACAACACTTCCAACTAGGACTGACCCCGAATAGTCAAGGTTTCGATGCTTCAATGGGCGGAGCCTGATTCGACTGTCTCACGGTCGAAGCTTCGCAGCGAAATAAGAGGATCATGCCATTTTGATATGGGGGTGCTCAACGTCTGATTTTACATAGAACTACAAGTATTATATTACAATATAAATGTCAACGTTTAATGCTGTAAATAAAAATGTGAAAAGAAAGAAGCTTTAAATAAATGTTTTTTAAAGTGCGTGAATAAATCCAAAATTGTAACCCTAACCCTGGGGCGACAGTGCGCATGTGTAGGTGTATCATGTATGTGTGTGTTGGCGGAAGAGGAACACTTGCTGAAGAGACGGAGCCCCAGCTTCACCGGTGTTGTGCAGAGTTGTCCGCACCTCACGGGACTTTCAGATCATTTATCACCACTGATGAACCTCACAAAGAATTGTTTTTAAATAGTAGGCTACTTGAAATAGACCTGTGAGGAACCGCGACGTACATGTAGTTGTCGGCTGCACGGCACGCACGCAAGACTCTGCGCAAGACCGGTGAACGGCAGGCGATCAGAGAGAAAATTGTCAATGACAAGCCACAGTGTAGCTGGAAATGTACAGTGTAATTTACACTGACAAATTAATAAATGTGCTGTATGTAAAGCATTCTGATATTCATAAATTCACCCATTAATGACAATTTAACTTGTTTTTAAAATCTCCTTTGCCCTTCAACACAAGGGATAGGCTTAGCTAACATAAGAAGATTATTCTCAACTTAAAATGGGCTCATTTGCCTGCTTTGTGGTTCATTACTGATTTTAGTTATGGACAATAATTGGGACATAAGTTTAGAGTCTTTGAAATGGCGAACGAGCCATGCATTTTCTATTCTATAAGTGCATGTTTGACAGTTCAGACTTGTGCCATATTGGAAGTGTTACTAGGTCTGACCTAGTAAGATTGCCATTGTGACTTTCAAGTAAAAATTGTTTGGGTGCTTAGTCAGACAAGACGCTGAGATGTTAAACAGCCTTCACATACATATATAACAACGAGGTGCACATCTGCAAGTCAAGTGGTTACTTCTTAGAGTTAACTCCCACTGGGGGACTTGGTTCAGCTCAGCCAGCATACTCTCTCAGGTCAGCAGAATTACCTTTCTCAACTGTATAATACAAGGGAGCCTTCAAAACTGCAGAATTTTGAGTTCTCAAATTGCTCACAAGTAGAAGGAGTAAGCCGGGGAGAAAAACAATTTCCACACAACACAAACTGAAAACACTTTACTGTAACTACACCCTGCAAAGTTGATGACTTCTCAAAACTGAAGATTAGGGTGAAAATCACAGCTCACACACTGCTGCTTTCCACCCCCTCACTTTCTCCCTCCCCCCTCTGAAGTGTGAACAGACGCTTTGCTGTCTCAGCTAAGCGAACTTTGATCAGTGCAGGGTTGCCAGCCTTCAGTTGGACAAGGTCAGGGAATTGTGATGATGGCCGGCGTGTTGTCAGAAGTGGGGAGTTGCCACCTGTTTGAGAATATTATCTGCTTGCTCTCACATCTACCTGGACCGTTAATGCCAAAGGGCTTCAAACTGAGTGGAGTCAACAGGCTGCTTTATAGGAGCCCTATTCATTAAGGTGTCCATTTTATGTGTCCCCAGGTATCCGTGTCAAACTTGCTGCCTTAGACAATAACTAACCTCGGGCTGTATGCAAATCCGCAGTCTGCTGTGAATTACAGAGTTCCACTCAGCAGACAGCGTCACTTATAAGCCTTCCTGTGCATTGGTCTGTGTCAGTGCTGCTGATAAACGGCTGTACAGTTTGTTTTTCTGCTCTGATAGTGAGAATGAAATCAACAGGCAAGCTGTGTCGCAGCCTAGTCTTTCTCAGCCAGTCTTACCCCCAATCCTCTTTGCTTTCCTCCAGGGTGGCATTTGAATGACCTGATCAATTTCTAATCAGGAAAGACCCGCAGCCTTTCTCCCGTTGTAATGGCGTTTCCCACAAATCTTCTATATGGAGGGCTCACTCAGAAATTGTTAAGAGGAAAGGGCAGGCAGCGTGTTTTCTAGGGTTAATTTTTCCCACCCTGTGTAGTGATGATAGTGCTTTATCTCCAACGTGGATCTGCTGTGAGCTAAATATAGAAGATTCCTAAACACAGCTGCACATCAGAATGAAAACCAGGCCCTGTTTAAAGGCAGAGGTGGCCTTTTGAAAAAGAAACCCCAGGGGGTCTGCCTGCTTTGTCAGTCTTGAAAAGCCGAGGTCTGAAAAAACATTCATCTACTCCCTTTTTATTATGGGTATTTTGTCACCAGCAGGTCCCTGACTAACTGTATGGGCTCTATAGTAGCTGGGACATGGTTTATACCAGTGATTCCCAACTCTTTTTGTCAGATATAGCCCTGTCGTGTGTGTGTCTTAAAGAAATCACTGGGTTTATATAACTCACTGACGTAAAAAGAAAAAAAAATCCCAGTTTGGACATTTGAATTGGATGCATTTTAAGTGGCCGCTTGGGTAGGACCATCAAAGAAAGCAAAATAACTGCCGAATGTTTCCCTAATGTACACTTTTTTGTGAACATGACACTAGATCAGTGACTCATGGTGGTATTATGCAAGTTCGTCAGTATTTAGTGCATTCTGAATTTCATTTTGTCTCAGTTAACAAAAGCTGTTTCCAGTTATTGATACAATCCTAAGAGTGGAATGGGAGGATTGGTGTTTTGTTCTAGTAATCACTTTCACAATCAATCGAGACATTTTTGATAATTGATGGAGCTGAGAGACTGCGACGCATCCTGTGTAATATGCACTGAAACTAGAGTTTTAGTGCACTAAAGTTTCATCTTGGAACAATTTGTACTGTGTAATTACATGAATGCTGAGAGGTGAGAATTGACACTCCCTTGTGTACTTAATGTTAAACAGTATTGGAGACTGTTCCTTTTGTACCGGTTTTCCCGGGAAGTTTGTCACAAATGTCTTTTCTTATTTGCCTTCTAGGTGGATGAATGGATGACGCGTCAGTCACTGACCTCACAAAGTCGACATCTGTGCCATAAAACTGTCAATGTGTACTGGATCTGATAACAAAGAGCCATAAAGCCAACGGAATCACACTTTGGATTTATCTTCGTTGCTCTTGGACGCAAACTTTCCAGCCAACTGATTCTGACTGTGACATCATGCCCAGGCAAAGGAATATTAGGCATTTTGCTCTGCTGTTTTGCGTCATTACATTTACAACGTTCCTGTTCAGTTACACTCTCCGGGACCCCTCACTCTACTACTTCAAGTACGCTTTTCGCCTGTCTGACAACTTTTTCTCCAAAGGGCTATGCGGCTGCCGACAGTGCATGACGGAGCTGGAGGAGGACCCCTGGTTTGCTGAGCGCTTCAATCAGTCCATCCACCCCCTGATGACCAGGGATAACAGCATCCTCTCTGATGAAACCTTTAAATGGTGGCAGGTAAGATTCAGGGGACGTGTTTAGGGGATTTGTAGTGCTATCCCACAGACAATTGAGGCGGGGAGGGGAACATGCACAATCAGCTTCTGAGAGGAGATGAGCTGCTGAAAAGAAAGATCATAAATAAAGAACAGAGATCACACACTGCTGTAATTCTCCCAAGAAGTGTTTGTTTTTGCCACATTGATTGGTTCAAATCCAAGGGATCTTCACCAGGATCAAGTTGTGAAGCAAACTCCCACGCACAATTTGTTCACATTTAACAAGTGATATGGTGGATATGGAAATTCTTGTTTACTCTCACCATCTTTCCCACTATATCTATAGCTGAAGAGAGATATTTTGTGTCATAACTTCAGTGTATGCTAATATCCCTTCACTCTTTGCAATCTAAATTGTTCCCCCAGAAGAAAATGCTGCAAACATGCCACTTCTGTTGATGAATATGTGCTTTGACTACAGTTAATCTCAAGTGTACAGCTATTGAGGAAAAACTCTAGTCTTCAATACTTTTTTTCATTGATGTTCAATAGTGCATAAAGCGTTCTGCTTTTATTTGGCATTCCCACTTCTCCACTTGCCTCATCAATGTTTCCTCCACCAAAGAATATGCATGAACATTTTGCAGTTTTTTCTGGGTTTCACATGACTAGAGTTGGATATTGTGTTGGGCTATATTATCTTTGTTATTTATACCATGGTCATGGAAAATGCTTAAATTCTGAATGGCTGGCAGCTATCAGCACAAACTTACCGCACCTCTGGCCGCTAATTAAAACTATACATCTTGTGTGTTTAGGCCTTAGAATCTTGTGTGTCTGCTGGCTTTAGCTTCATCTGTAGAGTGCAGTGGTGTCTATCTTCTCGTCTCTCTCAGGGAGACAGCAAATTTTACTTTTTTTTTTTACTACAATATCAGTGTATTAAGCTCTTTAACTAAGCCACACTGTTGCTATTCTTAGAGTTTAATACTTCTGCATTAATTTATAAATGACACCTCTGTCACAGGTGTGTGGTTCCACTGTCTGGTTACTAGAAAATTATTGATACCTGCAAGCCAACCGGAGTGAAGAAGTAAGTGGGGTGTAGATCAAATTATTGTCACAGTTAGTACTGCTCAGCCTGTGAAAACCTGCTCTGGAGGGAGCCAGTCAGGAAAATAACCCCCACAATGTCATTATGAAAGTTTTAGCCTGTGTTACAAACTCGGGATGTGGAGTTTGAAGGACATGGGTATTTACAAGGAGGGTCTAACAGAAGATGCTATTATGTTATCTAATGGGAAGTGGAGAATTCAGTGTATTTGGAGCTTGATCAATACTAGAGACTAAAAGTCAGGATATTTCTGAGGATATCTTCTGACTTTGATGCTCAAATCTGGACCATTCTCCTTTTTTTCTTTTTCAATCTATCTCTCACAAGTCCCCCAACTTTATGGAAGTAGTATAATAAATTGCTGGAGCGCGCCTTTTAAAAGTTGAACAATATGTAATGTACCCTGGTCATACTGGCAGTACTTAATGAAAACAGACTGTAAATTGATCTTCCATTCCAATTCGAGCTAATATGTTAATGCATTTTCAGCCTTTGCAAGTTGAAAAATGTATATCTGTCAAATATCCAGCACTAGATTAATTTTACTAACTGACAGTGCAGTCAGTGAAGGAATTGCTATCTCTGCCCCTTCCGTGATTTATTTTTTTACCTGTACTGCTGATTGCTGAGTGTCAGTGTTAAATGGCTGCTAGAGGGGGAAAAACCCTTGGATTCGGAGTGACTGATACACAAACCTGGTATTTACTGTTATTGTAGCTGAAACATTTCCTCATGTCAAACTGCATTTGAGCTCCACTGCACAATATCTTAATGGATTTAATTCCACGTACTGCACATTTTCCACAGGATCATAAAACACACTAAACAAGAAATGAACCTAGAATTAAAATGTATTGTTAAAATGTTATATATTTGAGATATGTTTGTATATTTAAATCAACTTTCTTGTAATTTAGAATTCATGTCAGCTATATAACTAATTACATGCCAGCCTTAATTTGATTCTACCAATATATACTGTACTTTCTGTAAATCCCATTATTAGAGTATAGCTCTCTAAATTAGAAAAGCCTACTCACAAAATGTCACACAGCGATCTTATTTTAGTTTGGAAGGCATTCACTGCCTAAGGTAGTCCCACATTCACCTCACACCATGTCCAATTAGAGGCAAGAATAGAAAAATTACTGCAAGGTTGCCTTCTGTCACTACTCATTTCAGGAAACGCTTCTCACAGGGAGCTTGATGAGGCAAGTGTCACATATCAACGGTAGCCCGGCCAGATGGTTCGGGCACTGCTGCTGCAAGGCAAGGGCTTGACCTTTTCAGGTGTACCCGGACTCTTTGTTCCAATGAGATGTTGAAGCTTACATGTTACAGGGCTAAATGAAATCTCTGTAAGGTAGAGTATTTAGACAGAAAATATATCATAATATCTATGTTGTATAATTTTATTTTTTTGAGTGTTTATACTGTAGTAGAGTTAGTATTTTCATTAAAAGCTACATTTCAGTAAATAATACCTTATTGCTTATATTCAATGTCAAATAAAATTCAAAAATGTTGAATGGTTTTCCCAGAACTGTATTGGCAAGGTGGAAAAGCCTCCACAATATTATATTAGACCAAAAGTCACTAAAGCTCTGCATTTAAACTCATGAGAGACTGTTGCAGAACATTCTATTTCCAGCTGCCACAGCACAATATGTAACAGTATATAGTGCACACACATTCATGCATTTATTTGCCGTCTCTCCACGAGTTCAAAGCCACCAAAAGAAGGCCAAGCCAAAAGAGCCCCTGCAGACGAAGCTAAGCCGCCCCTGAGGTTATTTCAGAAATGTGCTCGGTGTCTCGAGCTCCGCTGCCCTTGTTCAATCACTTCTACTTAAAGTGGCCCGGGAGCTGTTGCTCTCTCTGAAGCCTGTCTCTGCTGTGTCACCAGTGGTTGCAGTCAGAGAGGCAGCCGGCCAACTTTAGTGAAGTGGTGGAGGAGCTGTTCCAAGTCATCCCTGATGAAGTGCTCTACATGGATGCCAGCCCTGAGCGCTGCAGGACCTGCGCTGTGGTGGGGAACTCTGGGAACCTGAAGGGGTCCCACTACGGTGCCCTCATCGACTCCAGCAATTTCGTCATAAGGTCAGTTAGCGCTTCAATTTGTGGTGTGATTATGAGAATAACACAGCTACACACTTTTGACATTTGCTATGACATTTATTTTTGTCACTGGCAATAGTCTCCTGCTGCTTTATTTATTTGTTTGGGGGGGGTGTTGTACAAATTGGGTCTGATTTTTGTAGCTTTGGCTAAATTTTGTTTATGATGACAGTTCCCACCAAAGTAAATGATAAGAGCATGAAAATACTGTATCATTGTTACAACAAACTCGGAGAAGGCAGGAAAGATGATCAAATATGTAGTAAAGAAGGCAACAATTTAGCCAGATTATCAAAACCACTTAGTTTGTGAGTATATAGGTATATAATATAACTAATAACTAATAAATTTAAATTAATAATACAACTATACCTTTTTGAAAACTTTTGCATTTGTCCACTAAGAATTATGTAAAATTATATTTCAGTCAGTGAGGAGAAGCTTTGAACCAGTATTGTTTTATACCATCTGGCTATGGCTCTGCCCTCATGTCCGTGGATACCAACTACCTGCTGACATAGTAGAGTAATAGATCAAAACTGAAGTTTAGTGGACTGTAAACTGATGCAATTTACAACTTACAGTTAGGGTCATCATTTTACCGTTCACCTTCCAAATAAATTTCCTCATCCTGACGGTCTAAAACCTTAGATGTTACCTCATTTTCACAAGTCATTATTTAACTTTATGAAATAATTATATAAAAAAAAGACACAACTGGTTATGAACTGTAAATGCAACCAATGATTATTTTCATTTTGGATAAATTTGCTGATTCAAAAAAATCTGCCTTTAAACTGGAAAAGAAAAATGATTTTCACATTTATCGCAATAATTATCGATATCGAATAGAATGAAATGTTTTTATTGTGATAAACTTTTCGCCCAGCCCTAGATGAAGGTTTTATTTTTGGATTAAATCACTTTTTAATATACTGTAATTATAATATGTATTGTATAATACTGTATTTATAATAAATGCTGTAGTGGAAGAAGTACTTACTTTATTCAAAGGTGGGACGGTAGAATGGTGACAGGAAATGAGGGAGGACAACGGGACGCTGTGATCATAATGCATGCATCTTAACCCCTAGACCACTTGGTACTGAGCTTTAACTGAATAGACTAACCACAACTGGTTTTCATTTAGTTTATAAATAAGTTTTAAACTGGTGTGCTTTTATTTTCTCACATCCTGTAGCACTGATCAGTACTAAAACAAATACGCAATCAAATCAGCTGCAACATATCCAGCTTATTATACTGCATACAACAATGTTTTGTAATTAGTGAATTCAGTGGCAGACGAACACTGAAAAAAGGCTTTAATTTTGCTCGCTGTGTAGTGTCACCATCTCTCTCTGTTATTTCTTCCACGTCCGATAATGCACTCAGCTGAGAGTTGTGGTTGGAGATTTCACTTAACACATTGTTGTTTTTTCTCAAAAAAAAAAAGAGAAAATTATCTTAACAAAGCAGTAAGTTAAAACAATACAGTCTGAGTATTAAAATGTTTAACCTATGCCTTAGGGCAATAGCAAACAAGAGAGGAGTTTGTCGCTCTCTGTAATCTGTTACACCAATTGCAGCTCTGCAGAGAATGAACTAGAAAAGATGGAACACGACAAGGAGATTTTCTCTGAGGGGTTGTGAGTGAGCTTTCTGCTGCAAAACAGTTAGCTTTATGATAAAATTAAACTAATTTGGATGTCAGAGGGTAAACAAACCTTTTCTTTCTTAGCAGTATCTCCAGGCTGGACAAGTCACACATTCAAGTCTTGGGTGTCTTTTTGCAGGCTTTTTGCATACTGAATAAATACTGATCTGTAGATTGAGCTGAAAGCGAAATATGCAAGTCCCTAAAGAGTGAAGTGGTATTCCCTTGAATTGTTCTCAGACTATTACAAACAATTTTTAATTAATATTAAAATCTGGCATTGCATTCTCTACTACTACAAATTCAATTCACCCAGTATCCTGAAGATTGTTTCTGCACAGAAATGACTTTCTTAAGGAGGCGGTGGGGTGATATAAATGGTTGTAGAAGATACTTATTGTGAGCCACGGAAAATAACTCATTAAACTAAATGTTTCAAACGAATGACATTGATAGGACATCAGCTCAGAAATTATATGGGAACACAGAACTGTGAGTGTGAAAAGGGACTGAAAACCAATGCCTTTCAAATATCCACAATACAATTCGTCCAGATCCTCTAAAGCCTCTTTTATAGACTATTATGAATATTGAACAGCTTCGGCCTATCGGCTAAAGCCTCTTGTTTGCTCAGCAGATTGAAGTGGTAAAATAGATCTGAGTCATAAAAAGAGCCTTTGCATCTGCCTTTCACAGACAAAAAAATTCTGTGGCTTTTGAATAATTAATTTTTAATGATGTGTTGTTTGAAGAACTAATAAGTCATTATAGTTATTAAAATTAGATTTGAATTGTGTTTTTGTTCTTCTAATTGATAGAATGATGCATATGATTGCTAAAAGAACTTTTTTTTAACATTTTATCTTAGGGAAACTAAAAAGTTCACACCATACCCATTTTTAGTTTGTATTTGATTGCTGATAAGAGTACCTTTTTAGACAAAACAATTTATGCTTTTATCTAGTCAATCTGAAAATACAGCTAACTTTATGGAGTTGAAGACAGAGATAGTTAGAATCACACTTCATCTCTCCTGTAGCTCCGACACACAATAGAGATAAGCAAGAAAAATTTGGACAAAACAATAAACAAAACTGGCCTGAGAGATGCTTGTCTTGCATCATAAACAATTAAGTGTAATGGAAAGTGTAACTTCAATGTGAGGGGTATAACAAAACTATAACCACCCAAAAAATATTTTCTTCAGATATTGATTTGTTTGGCCTATTGCACTAGTAATTAAGCATCCTGCATGCATTACTGTATGTTAGTGACTGTAATGTTAGCTAACATTACAGGGTCTTGGAAGGAAAGGAACAGAGTAATAGACTATATTCATCTGCAATCCCAGTTAAAACTAAACAAGAAGTGGCAACAAAATTGTTGTGATGAACCATGAAAACATGCAGGCAGCATACTGACATTTAAATAAACAAAAAGGTAAGCTAACGTAAAATTATCGAGGGCTGCAATGCATTATCATTACTTTAAGTCAGCTAACTTTTGTGTTGTTATCGGTAAGAATGAGTAGCTAGCAAAATCCAAATGGTGAAAAGTATTTCCGTGGAGAGCACATTAGCTGCAGTAATGCTGGGTTACCAGTGAGCGTGCAACTCTGTTTGGGATTTAGTTTGGAAAGTCACCACAGAGCAATGTTAAAGTGTGGTATAAACACCAAGCCTTTTCCGCTAACCATTGCGATAGAGAACAACACCTGTAACCACGGTAACTTAATTTTCACTAACCAAAACTAGACTGAAATGTGTTAAAGTGAAAGTCATAACTTTCTTCTCTGTTTATACTCTTCATTCACTCATTTGTTACTTCCTATAACAAATGCAAATGAATTATTTCACTGTATAGTGTGTGCAAGTAAAATGAGATTTCAGACACTTATTAATCATCATCATTTTGCGTCATCACTGACAATGTGTGTTGCACGACTGTAGATTTTGCACAATATAGAAATGCAGACTGTTGCATTGTGTGATTGTTAGGGGACACTAGAGCGTAGTGCATACATTTCACACAGAATTTGTGCGCTCAAATGGTGGAGAAAATATAATGCACTACTGTATATTGTAAATAGGGACATCACATCATAAATCAAAATCAGGTGCCAACTTTATTAAGAGTGTGAGATATAAAGGATAAAGGTGCGGGTGCTTAAGAGGGGGCTGAGACAGTCACTAGACTAACCAATTTTCTGTGAGGAATGTTAAGATTGATGTTCATGATGATGTTACTGAAACAAAGATCTTATCAAGAGGGTAACCAGAGTGCCGCCTAAATATCCAAAAGCAAATTTCACGCAGTATTCTTGCATGGCTCTTAATTTATCACAGCGTGGCTTTGTCAACCTGCTGCGGCATGTTGCCTCTGTACAAAGCCACATTACTACTACTTATCTTCTTTGCTTGCCCCCTCTGTGACAGCAGCATGGCATTGTCTACCAATTTTATTATCGCATGACAGGGACAGCGCCAAGAGTTATTACTTTGCTATTAGCATAACAGTTTCATGCAGATGCATGCTATGCAAACATGCCGTTTCCTTTTTATTTATTCAAGCCTGAGCAAAACACTGGGAGTCATGATTGGTTGGAAGCCATGGTGCTGAGACAAAAGGTCATACTGGCTACACCGGAACAAGCAGTGTAAAGCCAAGGTGTGGAATACATATTTCACAAAACTTGGGCAACATGCTTGAGCACAACACTGTGTCCAGAATAAATTTTTATCAAATGTTGGTCTCTCCAAATCCAGACAAATAAGGATTCATATTTTGTATAATCACTCACATCTCTTTTGAACACAGAATATCTGATCATATGCAATCACATCCCCTTAGTACTTCTGTATGCTCTATGGGCACACGCATATTTTATTTGAAAAGAAGTAGGCTGTCTTGGATGTGTGATTGTCTCATCATTCATATTTACTCTGCTGAATTGAGGATCAGTCAAGCTTATATTCTGCACGATGATGTAAGCCCTTGCAAATAACTTCATTAAGATGGATCTTAAAGCCAGTAGATGTAATAGGTAGGCACATCACATTTGTGAACAACCCCCCCCCCCCCCCCCCTTTTTTTTTTAAATGGCTGCAACTAGTAATGATGCTCTATTAACATGTTTACAAGATTTATTTTCTCTGTTAGACTTTTATCACCATATGGATATTTTCCTGGGGGCTTATGGATGTCTAGAACCCTCTTTACAAGTGCCTCTTACCCAACAACATCCTCTGACTAAGGACATATATGTTGCACTTAGTGTTTTGTAATCAGTCCCCCAAAGCTTGGAACAGAGCTCAAGCATTGAAAA